CTTGATGAAGTTACTACCACTGATGTGACTGTTACTGACGAACGGACATTTACTGATGAAGCAGATGAATCCCACATGAAGCAGAAGCCAACGAGATGGAGACCAGTACGGAAGAAGACACGTCCCGTAAAATTAAGACTTTGTTGAATTGTAATTTTGTGTTTGTAATTCTGTACATTTTAATTAAGTTATTGTTAATTGTTATTGGTTTATTGTATGTTGTTATTGTTCGGGACGAACAATATTAAGGAGGGGCAGTGTTGCGTCATCGAGGTCACGTGACTGGTGTGGCGCCACCTATTTTCTAGAACTATCCTGTACCTTGGCGAATGCTCTAGTATTTACTAGATATAGGGTAGTCTGGTATATAAAAGAGGGTGACAACGTGACGGGAATCAATAATGTGTGTGTAGATAGTGAGTAATTGAACTGCAGTCAGAAGTATTATTGACGTTCGTTGATATAGCGTTTGTTTTAGAGTGATTGTTGAAAATAAGTGTATCGTAAAGTTGTATTCGGAAAGAATGAACCAGTTTTATTAAGTAAGGACTTGTGTCGCTAAAGTTTCGTCGGAACGAAGTTATGGAAAGTTAAGTAACAAACGGAGACGTAACAGTATGTATCTTGGTGATTTTGAAGGCAGAATAATTTCAGATTCTATTGTAATAACAGAGTAGAGAAGAAGAATTTGTGTTGTCAATTGGGTTCTAAAGTAACTGTACCAGCCTCTGTGGACTTTTGATTAAAAAGAGAGTTATTTAAAGCTCTGGATACAACTGCAGTAACCAATGGAGTAACATATATGTGAATCTATCACTGATTGTATTTTGATAACAGAGTAGAGGAGAATAATTTATCTCATCAAAGGGTGTTCTAAAGTAATTGAATTCATCTGTGTGGACGTTCACTATAAAAAGACAGTTATTTAAAGCTCTGAATACAACTGTGATATTCTATAGTGTAAAGAATTTTTACACATACATTTGACTTGTTTTGAATGTATATTATTTTAAAGCAAGTGAATTGTGTGTTGCCCATTTATTGTTTGAATTTATCACCAACATGTCACATTGCCTCATTCAAAAAATGTGCATGCACATGGATAACATAAGTAATATAACCCAGGTGCAGCTCCTATGGGTCCACTTAGTATGGGTACAAAATATCTGTTTTATAGATTCTTTGCTCTTAGTGCTATGGAGGTCACATATTCTTTCCTATGTAGTTTTACACTAGCTTGCTTGATTAAAGAGTTCTCAGAAGAAGCTATTATTTTTTCAATAAAGGGTAGCACTTTTAATATATAAAAATATTACAGTTTATATCACTAACATTTGTGAAAATTTGAGCTCTGTCCATTGAATCAATTTGACTCGTGAATTGCATCTTACTAAAGAGCACAATCAGAACCCTTTTAACGTGCAGTACTTCCCAGAAAAAATACTTTTTTTAGAGAATGCTCACTTTTTACAATTTCTTATGAATTATGAATATTATTATTACTAGCACAAACAGCCATCCATAATTCATCATTTCTGCTAATTTATTTAATGGAATCAGCCAAAATCATACATTATGAAAGTAATACTGCCAATAGAAAAAACAGGGAGGCTTGAATAACATCTATAGATCCAGAAAATAAGAAACACCTAGGCAACCACTGTATCTGTTTAAGAGTCGGTCTAACTCAAAATTAACAGTAGAAACAATTAACCTCAGTATTTTTAACCCATTTAATAATGGTTGGTGATGTTAAAAACCCGTATTAGAAATCTATACTTAATTCTTTTCACTTAACAGTTTTGGTATAACAATGCAAATGTTGTTATTATTTATCTTATTGTTTAATTTAATATTATTGACCTCATAATGCTGTACTATCGCTTGTATTACTCACATTCTTTCATCAGTTGAAGTTCAAACTCATGTTTAAATAAAAATCCAGGGGCAAAATATTACAAGAAGTGTAATCTCATGTTTGTTCTCTTTCAAACCATAGTCTGTCAATCACCTGAAAATCCAGATCAACTTAGTGAAACGTATTGACTTATATACTTCTTACTTCCAATAAACTAAAATTTTATGCCATCTAAGTTGTTAATTTAATATTTTCTTAAGTTACTTCACAATATCTAATTGGCACAATGTTGTGGTACCAGATTGTACTACATGTTTTCTACTCCTTCAATTTAAAAGTAAAGTTTAATTACACAATTTTGCTGTTTTTATATGATTCCCAAGTTGATCATAACATTGCTTAAGCAAGTTTCTAGCTTTCAGTCTCCCCAGGGGCTAATTGGGTCAAGCGAAGATTAGACATCTTCTTGGCTGATTTTCTTGCAGGAATAACAACACACTTTTTACTAAACAAGCCCACTTATTCTTGTCATGAACCAGGCAACAGTTGTGAGTAGAACTGTCTATGATCTTTATTATCTGTTGGCTGACCAATCCAACAGGCACTAATCACTGCTTTTTAATGTCAAGAACTTGAGTTTACTACAGTTTTGGGACCTGAGAGAGCATATTTTATAAAACTTTAAGCCATGTTTGCCTTAGAGTTTTAGGAAAGTTCTACATTGATGTTCACCAGTTTTGCATATGGATTACTTTTACTAAGTTTTGGCAGGTTACTTAGAGATTTCAGTTAAATTAGTGAGAACTCTTATTAAAGTTCTGACCTTCCTCTCCAGTGGCTATAGACTTATACTTTTATTTGTATGGGTGAGTGGATTTAAAGTTTATTTTGTAAGAGTGCAAGTTCACCTGAAAGTGAAGAATAAGTTTATTTAATGTGCTAGCAGGGGCTTTTGGTTTAATAAAGTGTTCAACTTTCTGGCTAGCCACAGTTGTTTTTTTTTCTACAGCCACGTGATTACTTAATTGCCCCATTGTAATCTGTGATATTAGCTTGAATTGTGCAGTAAGGTATTGTTATTTATACTGTAAACTGTGATGTCTTTCATTAAATATTTGTATTCTATATGAAATTTGAGCCCTGTCTCATTCTTTGTGGCCAAACTTTCAAATTCATTGGGAAATATGTATCCACATATAAAATCCTCAAGTCTACTATTATTAGCAGACCTAACACTTCTACTCTGTGAGCAATCCTCGACATACCAAAATGTCTAAAAATTAAATAAAATAAAAAGAAGAAAATAAAAACTGAGACTGAGTACACTATAAATTCACAACCTTGTATACAAACACATAATTAGCTAACTAAGCCACCATGAGTGCATTTTCTCTTCACAGGTTATTAATAACTGATTCTTTATCTATGGTATATGGCTTATGAAGTTCGTTCTTCTTTCACTTTATGGTACTTAACAGGAGGTTACTGCAATCAAATCCACAACTTTCCCTATTGACATATGAGTTGGCCATCTAAGATACGGTTATTAACAGGATATTAACAACAGATCCTTGATCTATACCAAATGGCTTGTCTGTAGTCTTCTCCTATTTTATGGTACCCAACAGGAGGATTCTGCCACCTTGGTGCTGCTGGATACCTTTCTCTCTTACATGACAAACAATTTCTTCCTTCTCAGATACACGTGTTACCAAAAATATTACATTTTTTTAAACTGTTATTCTTAACATATTATTCTTGTGCTCATGGTTTTTTTTATTTATGTCTCCCATCTATTTACAGTGATATTCTATAGTTGATCTTTTTTATATTTTAATGCTTCTAATTAAAATGTTTTTTTTACCTGAGCTGTAAAAGTGTTTGTGTCTATATGGGAGCTACTAAACATATTCTACACATATTTACTACTTTATTCACACTAACAGAAATACCATTCTATGGGAGGCTGTTTGTGCTGGTAATTACTAATTGTAATATTCATACCTTATTGTAAGAAATAGTAAAAAAGTGAACATTTTCAAAAAAAAAGTATTTTTTTCTGGAAAGTACTGCATGGGAAAAGTATTTGGATTATGCTCTTTAGTCATACACAACTCATTGCATCAAAATAATTCATTGTATAGAGCTAAAATTTTCATAAATTTTACTGATTTAAACTGTAATGTTTTTATATATTAAAAGCATCACCCTTTATTGAAAAAATAATAATTTTTGTAAAAACTCCAGTTTTTTAGTATTACATTTAAATATTACGCCAATAAAGATGTAATCAAATCCTCACATACACTTCTAGTGAAAGTCATGTTCTTGTTGTAAGGAGAGTACTTATATTTAAAAGTTGTGTTCTGTTATAAAGAAATGGTTGTTGCATATACCACAGTTGTTTTTCTAACTGTCTGAATCTTGAATACCTAAAGTGTGAAAGTTTTTTATGGATTTTTGTTTCTTGTGCCATATTTCATAAACCCCAATCACCATTTCTGGCATTGAGATCTTTTTGTATTTCAGCATAACAGAAGGCATTACTGTATTTATTATTTTGGTTGCACAGATAGATAAATAGATGACTACATCATTTCTCCATTATAGTAAGATTCAACTTACATTTTTAATATAAACAATTCAAGATATTTTCTAAACATTAATTATGGAAGTGACTATCTTTTTCAGACTTGTGTTAATAAAAATCTTCAATTCCTTCACCATGTGTATGGTCATTTTAATACTACAACTATTCTTAACGTTTCTCAAGGATAACTGATTACATTTACTTATCCTTAAGCTACACAATAAATAATGTTACTTCTCCGTTCGTTAGTTAATTTTCCGTAAATTCGTTCCGACAAAACTTTAGCGACACAAGTCCTTTCTTAAATAAAACTGGTTTATTCTTTCTGAATATAACTTTGCGATACACTTAATTTCAACAGTCGCGCTATAACAAATGCTATAATTCTCTACGAACGTCTCACGTGCACAACAATATTCAGTTCAATTACACATTCTGTCATGTTGTGACCGTCTTATGTATATACCATACTACCCCCAATCTAGTAGTCTTCCAACAATTCACGAAGGTTCGAGAAGGACGTGGCGTGATACTAGTCACGTGACCTTGCTGATGCAACAATAACATGAATAGTCTCTGTTATGTTTTAAAAATAATAAAACCAAGTTTGGTCAGTTTTAATACAAACTGTATGGGAGGTGTTAACCATCCATTTGTTTAAAAATAAAAATTTATCACAATAAGTTTTGGATGTAGAAAGCCAAAGCGGGAAATTATAATCCTTTTTAAGTTAACAAAAATAATAACAATGTTATTCAAACTTATTACATTTAACATTTTTTCTATTAATTGAACCCGTAAGTTTGTTCTACTGGGCACTGCAACTTAAAATGTAAAA